AGATTCAAACACTATTTGTCAAAGCTTTCTGCAGACGTATATTAAGGACTAACAGCCCAGGTGCGGATGAATTATTGTCAAGCCCTTTAGGTTCCATCAAAAATGTTCGGGTCGTAGAAGTTAAGAGGGCCTGAAGCGACAGCGTCAACCATGGACGGCTTGAGAATACAGGAAACGGAGTCATCTTTATTTAGTCTCAGCTCCACATCTACCAGTTGTTTTGCACGTGCGGCTGATAAAATCCGGAGATTCTGTTAGTCGTTTGGAGGCACAACTTCATTTATAATACCACTTAATTTCCATGTAATTAACATGCTTCTGAAACACTTCCATGGCTCATTGGAATGTGTAGATGCCCAGATAGCCTTACCTTCAATAGAAAGACGTTTGTGGTGCAGCTTTCTGCAGGTTGCTGAATGTCACGTTTACCATAAAAGGGGAAACAACGGCCGGAAAAACTAATTAAGTGCACCTTATCATTGTCAAATCTTAACAAAAGCCGTCGACCATTACATTCGTTTGGAGCAAGTTCCTTGAGCGGACTCGAAACGAATCCAGACGATGTTAAGGAAAATACTATGGATCTATGTTCATACATCGAGAGATTCTAGAGTTGCAGCGATGATATAAACCAGCAAAAGGGGTTGCACCTATTAGGTGCTGAGATCAAACGGGACACATTCACAAGTGAGTAGAGCGGACGACGAATAAAAATAGCCCACCTTTCATTAGGGCTGATCGAAATTTTGATCACCGAGATGTCCCAGAATGTATACCCAAGCCATGCGTAAGTCTTCAACGCTGTCATGATTTAACGGAAGTCAACGGATGAATGAAAACGATAGCGACGGCAGTTACTGAAAGTATAATTAACATATAATCACTTATTTCCCATGCTGAAGATCTCGTAGTACCAATTCCGGGAAGGTCGTCGCAGCTCAGCGGCAGTGTAGTTTAGTCGAAGTAGACAAACAAGGGTGATAGGATAGTTATTTAACAGAAATATTTTTAAAAAGACAAGGTGAGAGGTGTTTTTATCGTCGGTGGCAGTAGCACAAAGTTATAAACTAGAGGGTAATGTAAAGACGGACGACCCAATAATAGTTGCTGCTGACATAACCAACACAAACAAAAATGGCTTTTGTGATTGGTACGGCATGTTACATGTAGTGAGGAGGGGTTGGTTAGGTTGGAGGAACTGTAGGTTAAAAGGGCACTTGGTTGGGTATATTTCCGAAGTGTTCCTTGGGATGTTAGGAGTCAACAGTTGCACTGTATCACAATATGCTGGAAAACCCCTGTGTTCACACTGTAACAGATAAGCCAAACGTTTTTCCAGCATGATGCTCCTAAATCTCGATACTGGCTAGCGTTATTCGAATGTTTTTGCGTATCCAGATAATTTGTCGCCACAGTGTTGAACAAGAAAGTTAGTAGCAGGCCTTCAAATCAAGGTGACAGCGATAGTTGGCTTATCAATCAAAGCTCCTAAAATGGTTGGGGCTGGAAAATAAATCAGATTTCAGGCACTGCAGGCATCTGGGAAACCAGAAATGCAGGCATTCTTATGACTGAAAAAAATCAAGTTCCTGGCCGAGCAACGATCAAGAGAAGTGAGAATTGACGGAGGATTCTGGCGAGCAGATGAGTATATTCATGCACTGTCAGAAAATTTAGCAAAAATCCAGACAGTTGTTAGCCGAAATCCAGTAAATAATACGATTTTCACTCACTCCACCGACCCAAAAGTTTCGAGTTATACAATAATAACAAGGTGAAACAAAGTAATAACTGTAGTTTTCTCATTTTATTCAATATTTGATGTAAGGGTAACACGGTGATAAGCTAAAGAAAGTTTGAAAAGAACCTGTAAAACATTTTTCAGGTCAATTGAAAGGAAATCACCCCAGATTTTTGACGGTTTTCATCATTAGCCAGGGAAGTATTTCCAATAAGAGTCCCCAGAAGGTGCAGAAATCCTACTTCTGGGTGCCCGATGGTCACAAAATATACTTCCGAAGCTGTACGTTACGCTCTTGTTCCAATTAATGGCCACTAGAACCAAACGCGACATGTCCTTTTCTGATAGATAGGTTGAATATATGATGCACCATCATGAAAATGTCACTTCCAGTTGTTGATTGGCCACGTGACCGAATGATGCATGATATCAGACAACGGGAGGTCCAAGCAGACAAGCTGAAGTTGAGGAGTATAGGAATGAGTGGAGTAATTATTTTCCCCTTTCCTATCACCTACGTTATTTCTGCACTGTTGACTGTTTACGACAGAAATAAATTCAAAGATTGAGTAGATCACACTCATGAAAGCCTCTTTCAGAAAGAGTGGAGCCTTGCTAATAAACATTCATATCAGTAGAAAAAACACTAGCGAGCGATAAAATGTCGACTTCAAGTTAAGATCTTACGAAGAGCGAAGCTGGTAGGATTGTAGATCCAAATATCTTAGCTATCTGAAATAGAGGCAACCGTAGGGTCATATCCTTGATTATAACCTACCGCCGAAAAACTAGTTTTGCTGAGTACCTGGCTTACTGCTACTCATCCAAAATATTTCATTATCTTATGGCTAACACAAAGGGTTATCAAACTGCCGCACCAACCAAATAAGGTAGGGTGGGAAACATGAGATAAATAATTAATTTAGGAATACAGATGAGCGTAGGAGTAAAATGGCTGGATGGAACGCAAGAATAATTTAGCATTCATAATAATCAACGCAGAAATACCAGTCACTGACCTCCCAGATTGAAGAGTGGCTAACACATCAGCATAGAACAGTGATTCGATCTCACGTTCTCGATTCCACTCAACTTTTCAAGCCCGAGTTCTTGTGATTCGAAGATAAGTTAGTCAAAATGATTTCACACCAAAAGTTTCGTATATTTATCCAATCATTTGGTATCTCACTATAATCGCCAAGGGAATGCTCGAAAACCTTTGGATTCACTCTGACTACACGCCTACAGCCCTCATCATCTAGAATGGGTCGAACGCCGATTGCTGTCAAACTCATGAAAGAAGGTAACAAACTGCACCAAGCCAAAGATCGACTTCTACAATGCCAGATTTGAACTGATCAGGAAGAAATCTCAGCGTCCATATGGTGGAAAACTGAGGTTGATCTCAGCCATAACCTGGATTCGGGCTGGATAAACAGACAACAGTGAACTGCCAATTGTGCTTGGGAGAAAGTCTGAGTCGTTACAAAAAGTTGCAAGCACGCAGCTTTCTTAGTTTTATCCTACTCACTATGGATACTCCAAGATACAAGCATGGTGGGAATTGCCTTGAAGCTGCTAAGGGACCACCAGAAGTAGGCAGCAAAATGTGTGTTGGTTTTTAAAGCAGTTAATGTTTGCTTTTAAAAGATGGAATGACCTCAGATAAACGGCTTCCGCGAGGTCGTGATCCATCAGAATTTCCTTTTTTGACCTCATCTGGATTTTACAGATGTACTCCTCTCACAGACCATCGACTCAATTCCCAAATGACTCGATTTTATAGAGCCAGAGTTTGATCGAGAAGTGAACAATCCATTTCAAGTTATCAAACCATTGGTATTGAATTTTGTTTGACTGATTCCCCGTGAATATTTAGGCTCATCTAGCTCTATTCAGTCCCTAGTTAGGTTCACGGAAATGTATTTCCGAACATCATGTGAACTGGGAAACCACTCACACTGATCTGCGACATTAGCTAGATGGCTCCTGTCGAAACCCCTATTAATACCACAGTTGGGAAGTTGGAAAACCACTTAGTTATGGGAAATGTCAAGGTGGACCATCCGGATAAACATTGCCGATAGACTTCTGATTGAATCCTTATTATGTGTAATTTTCTTAACTTATCTAACTTAATATTTTGTGTCTCACTGTTATGTGCTGATGGAAAGCCAATTAGCTTTCAGATGGGAGATACTGCCAGAAAGGCCAGAGTAAACAATGGAATTGCACCATCGAAAATTTTCCCCGACCCAGCTTCAGTAGACGCAAATTTATGGTGGCAAATGACAGTACTGGAAGCAAACCTTGTTCCCCAGGGTAGATCTGGGTTTCGCGTTTTCTGACTGGGAGGCAGTTGGAAATGTCTCTTGCTGAAATTATCGGTGTATCTGAGCACTACCGAGCACCTGAGAATACGACTTTTCGTTATCTGGTTCAGGCAGCAGACTATGGACAGGCCAGAAGGAATGTCATTATTGTGTATCAAATGAGTGTGCTGCAAGCCAGCCTGATAGAATGAATTCTAAATTCATCCTGTAATATCCTGAAAGGCGTCATCGTTTTAGGATGGAATAAAGGGGATCAGGGTGACAGTTCGTGTCGGATCTCTTGCTACTTTACTTCTTTCCGAAGAGAGTTAATGTTCTTAGCAGAGCGAAGCATCCTTAAAATGAAGCTAGATGTGCATATGAGAATCAATTAGGATGGCACAGAATAGTCTTGGTGCATTTTAGATAACCAACTACAATGGTTGGTCTTTTCTGAGTTTCTCTTGCGCTTAGTTTGGAATTGTCCTGAGAAGTGACTGGGAACGGTCTCCATAGCCACTATTCTATTTTACTTCCGAAGAAAGAGGAAGATGGGAAGTTTTCACTTGGCTGTTTACGCAGCCCGATCATCAAAACTGGCCCGGGGCGCGGTTATTTGTACATCTTAACGATGATGCACGGCTCTTGAAGTTAAACAGCTACCACTTGGCGAATATTCTTAAACGTAGAATGATGAAGACTAATAATCGGATATGATGTCGGCCGAATTTACGCTCGTTTTCTTGTCGTAGGAAAATAGGGGTTGAATGACAACTTTCTGCATGCGTAATAATGATTTAAGTAGACAAATATCTACCTAGATATTAGTTTGACGAAACCGCAGGTTTGAACGGTAGAAATCACCTACCATTATTTTTAACGAAAACTGTAGATGTCAAAACTATTAGAGTTGTTAACGAAATTCATTGGACATTGAGAACGAGTGGGTCATTTGTAGCGCTTACATGTTTTTGAAGGCCAATGGGTATACTAGATAAGATTGCAGATATAGAAAATGAGATTGCAAGAACGCAGAAAAATAAAGGTTTTTGTCTTCTAACGTTATTTCTATTTTTTTAAAAAGCAACTGAGTACCATTTGGGGTTACTAAAAGCTAAGCTTGCCAAGTATCGGTCTCAGTTACTGGAGAACCAAAATAAAGCTACAAAGGTTAGATTATGATATAGTTTCATTTCTCCAGGGTGAAGGTTTCGATGTGATGAAATCGGGGGATGCACGAGTAGCTCTGATTGGATTCCCATCTGTTGGGAAGGTTTGGCACTCGGTTTCTCACCCTTAACCTCTACCTTGTAGTCTACGTTGTTGAACTCCTTGACTTCTACTCACAGTGAATGCGCATCATATGAGTTCACTACACTGACATGTATCCCTGGTGTCATTGAGGTACTTCGCAGTTTTCCATGTGTCATGCTGACTTTAGTACAAAGGTGCCAACATACAGTTGTTAGATCTACCAGGAATAATAGAAGGAGCAGCACAAGGTTAGTTGCTTTCCCGATTTTCTTCAACTTATTGGTCCCTGAATTTTCTAATTAACTGACCTGAAAATGCTACATGTTTATATCTGTATGTTTCTAGCACCTGGTGCAAGTCAGTGTTGTGAAGCCTGATCTGTTTCATGTAAGAGTAAAACGTAGGCACTGTGGTAGAATATAGTGCCATATTACATTGATATCACACGCACAAATATATCGACTAAACTAGTGAATAGCAATTGTTCATTTATGTTTTCTACTATCCTGCTAATTAGTGTTAAAATTTGTTCACAGGGAAGGGGCGTGGACGTCAAGTCATTGCAGTTGCTCGAACTGCTGATCTTGTAATAATGATGCTGGATGCCACTAAACCAGATGTACACAGGTAAATTCTTTTCATTCTCTCTTACTCTTGCTTTTAATTGGTCTGAATATAATTTGAGAGGTATTCGATGGTTAGGGATTACTTTGTAGACTGATAGTAGTGTCATGAATCTCTTATCTGAACTCGCGTCTTATGACCCCTAGCTTATTTTATCTTTTAAGTTTCTGTGAATGCTGTGAACGTATGGTTTACTGGTTTATGGATCCATCCAAGATATTGAGAACTAGTGCACTGATGCATTAACCTTTTGCCTTCAACTCATAAATGGGTGCTTTACTTCCTCTCATATAAGTAAGACCACGTAATACGCAACAGTAACAATTATTTTCCACGATGTGGTGGTTCTTGATTTCGAATGTCAGTAAGTAATGAGTTCTTTCTGTCGAGCAAGTGTAAAATATTCCAACTGGCTTACCATTTTCTGTAAGTGGGAAGTTTGTATAAAGCCTTGCCATGAAGACGTGGGATAAAACTTAACATTTATGACAAATGAAAAGTTCCAAACGAAATGGTATGGGACTATGGACAGGAGTTAACCGACTAAAGTTGAATGCTTAGGAAAGGAAAAACGAAACGGTAAAAAAGAATCAGGGTCATTCAGAAAAAGGAAGCAGTTAGACATGTTTCATAATGTATATAAAATTTTAGCCGACAAGGGTCAATGAACTTGTTTTTTGACCCATGTGGTTGATATGCCCTTGCGTTGAATTACTAAGCATTTTAGGAACTTCAACTAGATCTTCTGCAAGTTTGTAAGCACTTCAAGCCAACAGAGAATTATTCTTGGTTACTTTCGTAACTCTTGCCGTGTTCAATATAACTTCACTTCCATTTTAGTCTGTTTATAAATGTGTATCAGTGAAACAGTATTATTTACTGGATAACGTTCCAGACAATATATCCATATTTATGTCAGGTAACTACAGCTTTCAGAGATGGTTTGCGTAGTTCTAATTCCCTCTTCTTCTTCTTTATGATATTGGTAGTAGAATTTTGTATATGTCTGACGCAGGTGTAGAATCATTCCTGTTGCATGTATTTGGTGCTGCTTCGACAAAGTAAGGTTCAATTATCAACCTCCCCCTCCACCCGACTGGGTTTTTAATAATGTCGCTCTTTCTCACTTTTGTTTGCATTTGCCTGCATAGCCGTGTTCGAGCTGTTTTCTCAGTCCGTTATCTTATCAAGATCTAATAAACTTGATTTAGTTATTTTTGTGTTGGTATTCTAATTGGCCCTGGTCTATTACCTTGACTTACATATTTGTCCTCAAAATCATTGCAAGGGATTAGGTGAAGTAGATTATTACGTCTTATTGGATCAATAGACTTTTTAACCTGAGAGAGTTTGCCTATTTAAATCCCACTATAACCCCAACTTTATTGAGAATTCTGCGTAACGCTTCCAAGGTGCCTTCTTTGTACGGTAACGGTAGAGGCTTTAAGTTGTCTCCACCTTGTCACCACTACTACTACCACTATTGTTATTATTATTATTATTATTATTATTATTATTATTATTATTGACATTACTATCAACATGTGTCTACTACTATTGTTCATATTTTTCTTATGATTTATTGTAAATTCGTTGATAAGTTTAGGTGGGTAATTATTGAGCTGTAAGGCATTCTTCATTTATCTACTTTTTTGTCTCAAACTCTGTTCTACTAGTAAGCTTCCTTGCCCTACTACTTGGACATCTAAGCAAACCAACCTTAACTCATAGGATGAGATGATTTGAAGTCTCAGTACGAATTCGAATGCAAAAGTTTCCAATAGATATCAGTTTAAACTTCTATCTTGCATTCAGTTAATCTCGCAATCAAGCACCGCTAAATCACCATCTCTTTTTTAAGTCATAGGTAAATTGGATTACATCTACTACTGATTTCGTGGGTCAAGAATCAGTTAATGTGCTCCGATTTCAGTACTGTAAATATGTGATCTACGCATCGGAACCATATCTTTATAGTAGGACTAAATGTTTCAAGGGCTATCCGTTCCCAACTATTCATAGGGGATATTGGTGATTCGATAGCAATCCCTTTGGTTTTTTCATCTATTTTGTTTCAAAACTTAAAAACTATGGACGTCAGGCATAGCAATACTCGTAGCATAATTTCCTCGACTTGTACCTTAGTTCGATGCATAAGCTCGTTGACATCATTAAGCCTATTTCCAACTGCATCCAACGCTGTGTAGATTGGTGTATTATTGTACAGTGAAATGAAGCTTTTTTAGATGTTCTATTTATTGCTTACTTCGTTGGGATTAAGTAAATTCATGGTCGTTGTTTGACAAAGGTTTACATTACTTTTGGGCATTTTCTGGATGCCAAGATTACCAACAGAATTTCATAGGTGACATAATTGTTATTATTATTTATTTATTTTGAGCTCGGAAAAATAAGTATCATTGAATGCTAACATCACTGTTAGTAAGACGTACCTAAGGAGCTTCAGTTATGGTGATTCCGATGCTCAAGTAATTATTAATATTGCACTAGTATTTATAATCTTACATTTGTGTATAAACTTGCCGAAGTATCAACCCTTGAGATAGAGCAAAATTGTCCTAGTATTTTTCAAGTGTCATACAATGATTGTGATGTAACTGGAAGTAGGTCATCGTTTAATGCTAAGCTTTGGCTTGCGAACGATCCCTAAAATGTGGAAAGGTATTAGTATTAAACAAAGCAGTAGCAGGAAATTTCTGTATTCATTTTAAATGACAGTATAGATTGGGTTTCACTTTAGGTATGATACCCAATAATTTCGATAAATCGTCAACTGGGATCATGTTTTACATTCATAAATTCTTACTTCTTGGATACTACATAGCATCAAAGGAATGTCAATTTTCGAAAGATAACTAAAGAGTTATATTGGTGGTAAAAATGACCTAAATGATTTAAGGTTTCTCGGAAAGTGACAGATTTATAGATAGAACGGTACACGGCAGAAGTTACTGAATGAAAATACGAGTTTTCCGTCAAATCGGTAAATTAATAGGCCAGTTTTCTTAGTCTTCAATTTTCTAGTTAGGAACAAAGATTTTCGTACTCATCACCAGTTGGCCAGTTGCAAAGATTATGTAGTATAGTGCGGTATTAAAAGTAAAACCATGAGAATTAAAAGGTCGCAGGTTTAAGTAGTCAACAAACAATCACTTGAATAGCCCAGCATCCAGTCTGAACCTGAATGACACGTAGATATCGGTCTACCAACTCTCCTTGAAGTTGAGAAAGCTGTAACGAACCTGAAACGATGGAAAGCAGCAAGACCTGAAAGCTTGCTACCCGACGTTTTCAAGGATGGAGGTAGGAAATTGCTGATTAAAGGGACGGAGGTACTAGTTAGCATATAGGGACCAGAGGTAGTGCCGTCAAACTGATGTACTTCTCTAAACATTGCAATCTATAAGAAGAGGGAGAAATCTTGTGATAACCACAGAGGAATCAGTTCGACAAATCTCATTTTCAAGATCCTAGGGTCCATGGTTATCCGATGCCTAACTGGAGCTGGATCGATTGTATATTCACTCCGAAAGGTCCTGGAACACGGGCTTAAATACTGGCGATGGACACTTGCCTTATTTATTGACTTAAAGGTGGCATTTTACTCAGTGGGCCGTGAGATGTTGTGGCAGTGTCTGACTATAAAAAGAGTACTGAGCAAGTGCGTAATGCTTATCGAAGCTGTCTACTCAAACTCACGCAACCATGTAATGGCTCGTAGAAAGTTGGCATGTGAATTGACGACAACTAGTGGTGTCCATCAGGCATGCCCACTGTTACCGTTCCCACTTAACTTTGTTAGAGATATGCAAATGAGCAGAAGCTTAGGTACACCTGACTCCACAGGGACTGAATAACTCCCATCCATGGAGGGCATGTCGTTGACTTGGAGTGTGCAGACAATATCGTTCTGCTCAGTGAAGACACTGGCAAAATGCTGGGTCTTCTTGAATTGTTGAGCAGAAATCTGAGTACATTTGGCATGTGTTTCACTGACGCCTGTCAAATGTAAGATGTTGCTCTAGGACTGGTCTACTGCAAGTACTCCCAGTTTAATGACATCAGGTAAGAAGTTGTGGAGTGTGTCGACCAATTCACTCACTTTGGGAGTTGTATCAGTCCCCCGAACCGCCTGCTTGCTGGCGAAATCTCAGCTCGAATACGCAAGTTCGCTTGGCATTTGATAACTTGCAACATGCGGCGCCAACTGGCAAGATATCCAACTATCTATCAAAGGACGAGTATACTGCACTGCACTGCACTTCGTTCGTATGGACGTGAGATATTGGCGTTAAAAGTAGAAGACGTGAAGTGGTTGCAGAGTTTCGATCACAAGTGTCTTCGTAGCATGGATTGCGTTCGGTAGAATCACTGTGTAAGCAATGTTGAGGTAAGGCGAAGGGTATTCGGCAAAACAGTCGAGTCGACTGATGAGGTTGTGAACCTCAGTCGACTGAGATGGCTTGGACATGTGTTGAGCATGCCGAGTCACCGTCTACCTCAACGTTCCATACTGAGGGGATTCGGATTATGTTGGTAGAGGTTTCAGGGTGACTAGACGAAGACGTGAGACTAATCGATGTTGTCTCTTACTGTTGGTGTGAGGCGTGTGGGTAGATGTAGACAGCCTGGCTGGGGTCACTGAGATGAAAGGAATCAGTGGCTGAGGATTGATTCTTGGTGACATGGCTGTAAATCGGTGACAGTGGCGCAGACGCATTCTCTCCTTAACGTCTTCTAAAGTTTGAATATTCGCACTAACCTATGTCTTGAGATGGTTTATTCCTCACACAACTTTGTCTAATTTGCTATCACTGTAATGATGGAATATATTTGTAGCCCAGGTGGATGGTCTTGGTTATATTGTGTCCTCAACCCAGCTCAGAGAACACAATACAACCAAGATTACTATCACTGTTTTTTCCATGCGTTTGTTCTTTGTATACTACTATGAAGTGTGACAGTGCACTTCTATGCGAGCT